CTTTGGCACACCCTTGGCACACTGCACCTGAACTGGGGGTGCCCTGTGCCCCCCGCTCCTCACCAGCCCCCTTCTCTCTGGCCCCCAGGCAATTCTTGCACCTCACCCGCTCCCACTTCAACGTGGTGCTGCTGGACAAATCGGGCACTGACCGCGAGCGCTACATCTTGCCGGTCAGCCCTGACGAGCTCTTCGACTTCATCGACACCTACCTGCTGAGCCAGCAGGAGACGGCCCAGCGGGCGCAGAGCGGGGACACCTGCGAGTGAGGCGCCATGGCGGGGCACCCTCCCGCCAGCCCGGCCTCAGAGAACAGACAACTCTCTTTCTGCTTCTGTAGTCGCCCACTGTAGAGGAGGAGCAGGGTGTGAGGACGCCGGGGGAAGGGGAGCCAGGCCCAGGCAGGGGAGGACAGCACTGCGCACTGTCCCCGCCACAAGCGGCCAGGAGCACCAGGAGACACTGAGGATCCTTGGGTGTCACAGATGAGGAGCGATCACAGCCTGTGTTTCCAGCCCAGCTAGAGCTGCCCTGGGGCAAGGCGACAGCACAGACACCTCCCGCAGCAGCTTCACCCTCGCCCCATGCGCAGCTCAAACTGGCTCCCTCAGCACCCGGGGGTCAGACCTGGTGCTGCCAGAGTCCTGACGGAGCCGCCGCGGGCGGGAAGCCTTTATGAAAACAAGATGTCCCCACGCTGAGGCCCAGTACCAGACCTCCAGTGCGCAAACCACCCCGCGCAGAGCATGGCCTGCACCCGCCGCTGCGCCTCGCCTCCCACCCGGCTCCTTCTGGGAACTGTTTTGGCAGTAGAACATTAACGTGATGTGAATAAATTTGTATAAAAACTCAGGGCTAGGAGCACCTTGCATCAGAGAAACTCCAGAAATTTAAGTCTGTGTGCAGAAACAGGGGCACAGGCCTGGGGACCTGTACGTGGCCCCGTCACCAGTGCCCTGTCCCAGGCAGACCCCAGAGCTCAGCCCCCCACACACCATGGGCCCTGCCTGTCTGATCCAGCAGGACACCAGCACTGCTCCCTCCAGGCCCCACAGCCAGGGCCAGGCATGGCGGCGTGAGGCTCAGCGTCCTTAGGGCTGTGGCGTCCTGCAGCAGCAGGGTGGAGAAGACACAGAGGGAGCAGATTGTGAAACAAAAGGGGTTGGAGGAGGAGGAAACAAAATAAAACAAAAACACACAATACAGCACTGGGCCAGGGAGGGGAGGGAAAAAAAAAAAAAGTCAGTCCATAAGGACTCAAATTCAGCCTTTAATTCACTCCAGATTTTAAGACTGAAGGAAACCCCTTTAACATAAAAGACTCTGAACGCAAGAGGCCTTTCTGTCCAAGCCTCTTTAGAGAGAAGGTCATGTTTATTAAAATATGGAAAAAAATAAAATAAAATAAGCCTGGCACCTCTGTCTGGCTCTGGCCTTGGCCCTTGGCCATGCTGTGACCACAGCCCTGAAGTGCCTGTGTCAGCTGTAGGGTCAGTCCTGGTGCCGTGCCACACCTATGGCCTCAGCTTTGCCATGGTGGAACGGAGCTGGAGTGTTCCCTCTGCCCACGAGCCCGGGTACTGGCGCATCTTCTGCCACAGGTTCAGCTCCTCACCTGTAGAGTCCATCCAGTCCACAGCCTGCCCGTTGCTCATGCCTTGGAGAAAGGTGGTAGATGGGTTACTCTAAGCCTCTGCACAGGAGCAGCTTCCCTACAGCAGAAATTCAGCCCTAGGCAAGGATGCTTGTCCCAAGGGGCTGAGAGACCATGCAATACTCGGGGCCTCTCCATCTGCCATGAAGGCTGCAGGCTTTAGCCTTACTCATGCCCTCAAACCTCGCTGCAGATCCCAGCTCTTCCCATAGAGCAGCATCCCCAAGGGTCCTCACCATTCCCCACACCCAAGCGAACGCCTCCCAGGAAGTCATTGCTGGATAGAGGCTCCCGGTCCCAGACGGTCAGCTCCAGGCAGATGTGCTGCAGGTCCTCTGGGTTGATGCCATTGTAGACAAAGGTGTGGTTGTAATGAGGGTTCAAGGTCTTCTTCACTACGGGAGTCTTCCTCTTGAAGGCCTTGTTTTTGTGTGGCAGGAGGTAGCTGGGGAAACAGTCCCTTTAGAATTGGCCCCTACAACAGCCTTCTCCTTCAAGAGCCGAGGCAGCTAGGCTTGGTGCCTGCCCTCAGCCCCACGAGGACCAGGCCTGGGTCCCACTATCCCCAGGGTGGTCCAAGAAGAAGGTGCATCATGGCCTGGAAGGCGCCATGTCTCTGCCCCAACCCCTTAGGCAGCTCAGCAGACTGCAAGTGCTCAGGGGAGGAGGTTGCTCTACCTGCTCCTGCATTTGTCTACCGGCAGGACCAACAACGCTGCCTTAACACTGGAGCCCCAAAGGAGACCCCTCTTGCCCCAGCTCAGCCCAAGTCACAATTGCTGGTTGCAAGAGTGACCTCAGCTAAGACAACTGGATAGCAGCTCCATGAGGACCCAGTTCTGGCTCACCTGCTAGCCTGGATAGAAAGCCAAGCCCATGAGAAGAGCACACCTACTTCATCTCTGCTGTGCAGAAGACCCCATATGCAGCCTCTGACCATAGTGAACAACCACAGAGCTTACAAACCCCGAGCAGCAGCTCTCCGGTGGCCAACACCCAAAAATGTACTACCAAGAGCTCTTTGTCTCCAGGAAGAGACCTGCAGATAGTGGCTTTCAGAGTGAAAGTGCAGACAGCACAGGGCAGCCGATGGAGAGACCTTCTTTCTCCTGTAAGTTTCCATAAAAGTTCTAGGAAGTGCCCTGGGATGCAGTCAAGGAGGACAATGCTTTTACTCACATCTTCCTTACTTCCCAGCGTTATCCACACTCACCCCTTCACAAAGCTGTCCGAGGTCCCCCCGGATTTGACTGCTGTGAGGTTCTTGGCTTCTTTGATCCAGACCTGGAGCTCACCGCCTTCCCCCATTTTGCCTGCAAGAGTCCCAGCACAGCAAGATTGGACTATCCCCCGTTTTGACCACAGCTTCCTTCCTGAAAGGTCCTGCAGAATGGCCTTCCCCTCCAAGGCAGCTAGAGACCGCAGGTGAAAACCCCTCCTGCTTCCTCCGAAGCTGGCCCTGGCTATTAAGGGCCTGACAGTTCACCTCAGTACAGGGAACAGCACTTGCAAACCCAGCCCAGGTGCACGAAAACCCTGGGTCCACACTGAAGCCTGCGGTGACCCAGAGCAGCCAGCAGCTTGCACATGTTTCAGAAAAGAAAACTGAAGTGCTAGAACCCAAGAAATCCATGCAGAACCAGCATCCTTTGTGGCCATGAGCAGTTCCCGTAGGGCTGCTCCGTGTTTGGAGATGGGACTTTTCTGTGGTGGCCAGTGGAGAGCAACAGATAACCCCAGGATATGCAGAGATCTTAGCGTTCCACCACTCACCCTTCCTGCCATTCCCAGTCCCAGGATGCTTGGGAGATGGGATGTACTTCATGGAAACAACCAGCTCCCCTTTGTACTGGTGGAGGCCAGCAGCATCGGCGCCGATCTGCAAAGAAGCAATGGCTGCATCATCACTGCACTATTACAGAAGCCAAAGCGAACGTGGTGACAGCCTGGTCTGCACAGAGAAAGATCCTCATGCTTGGCCAAAAGCCTTGGATTCTTCTAGAGACAGCTTAGCCAGCACAAATCTCTGCACACCCGCTCTAGTAATCACCAGATCAGATCTGGGATGCTGTTTTGACTGCATCCCTTGGGAAACCCCATTTAGCTCAGCCACCACAAATTGCTCAAGTCCTGGCAGAGCAAGGGCTGAGGTTAGAACACCCAGGCTAGTCAAGAAAACCAGTCTGCTAAATAACTCCAGCAGCAGAGGCATCTACTGTCGCAAACGAGCTACACAATATACACAAATATACAGCGCAGCCTCTTACTATCCTGTTCTGCAGCCTCCAACAGGATGGTGAATTCAGTTTCCCCCATTTGTTTTCCTGAAACTCGCTTAAATTCTTCCATGCTGAGGCAGAGGGAGGGAACGAGTTGCAGTCAAGGAGAAGTCAGGCACGCAGAATGACAGTATCTGACACCCCACTGAGATGCATCGAGAAGGGAAGCCAGACTCTGACAAGCTCTGCTTCCTTCACCACAACAGTGTGGCCAGCGGGGCTGGGGCCTTCATCTTCCACAGCTTTGCTTGGCTCACACCGTGCAGCAACGCTCAGACTCTGCCCACTAAGGGCATGCAGTAGTGACACTGCAGAGGACACAGAGGCTTGTGAGAAGAGCCTATTACAGCAGCTGCAGACAGCAAAAGCCTTGGGAGCTTCTCTCCTCCACGCTGGAGTCCCACAAGGGAGGCTGACAAGTGGATGCTAGGGCTACAGGGGCAGTACCTTGCCATGCAGGGGGAGAAACTCCTCCAGGTGGCTGTCGAAGTTCCAGGAGTCCATTGGGATCTCCACCTCCCCCAGGAATGTGTTTCGGCCAAAGCGATCGTGGTGCCAGACTGAGAACTGTAGTGTCCTTGCAAGCAGGAGGGACTTATTAATCTCGTACTAGGAAAAGAGAAAAAAAAAAGGCACACAGGTAAATCAGTGGTAGCTTCCAGGTTTGTGCTTGGAGCTTCCCTAGCACTGAAGAGGGATGGTGTGCTCAGGCTTTGCTGCTCCACCTTTTCTGGGCTCCTATACAGCAACTGGGCTACTGCTAACCTGGCACCTTCCTGGCAGCAGGCAATGCCAGGCGGCCCAGCCTTGGCGTGCTCGAGCATAGCAGGCACTGCAGACAGCTCGCGGCCCTCAAACACAGGGGGAGGAAGCCGTGAGGGGCAGCTGAGGCACACAGAAGATCTTCAAGCTTGCTGAAGAGCACAGCGGCTCCCACTGTGAGAGCACACGTCCTTCGGGCGAGCCGTCCTCAACGCCCATGCAGAGCCAGCGTCAAGATTCGCAGCACTCAAACACCGCGCTCCTTCCTACCACAGGCAAACCCTGTCAGCCCACTAAGCCTCAGGTGGTCGGGCAGGAGCTCTCAGCAAGCTCAGGAGCTGTGGATCTTGAGCCACAAGAGGCTGGAAACCAAACTGTGCCTTCCCGCACCCACTTCCTTCCTGCCCAGAGAGCACTTGACCTCAGTGACACGCTGCCCCTGCATGGCTGGCCATGGGGACGAGCCAGCCTTGCCCACACGTCCTGCGCCAGCCGCAGCGAGGACCAGGAATGCAAAGGGAATGCAAAACGCCAGGCGTTTCTGCTGCTGGGGAACAGAGCTGCTTCCCTCTGCTTCTGCAGATATCCTGTGCTCCCCGCTAACGTAACCAGGCTGCAAGAGCCTTGCAGTAAGGAGCCTTTTCCAAGGGAAAACAAGGTCAGCTTGAGGGGCTGAACAGCAAGGTCACCTGCTCTGGGGAATGGCAGCAGAGCCAGGAACGCAGGTTGAGAGAGAGACAGCAGTTAACAACTTCAGTGATGCCTCCACACCACCACAGCAGCCAAAACCTTGACAGCACAGCAGCAGGAAAGCAGCAATCCAGGCCAAAATGGTGCTTTCCAGGTTTAAGGGCCCAATGCCTGGACACAGAGGCTGCTCAGGGTTTGGAGCTCATTCCCTGCTGGTGACCACAGCCCTGGAGCAGGAGGCTCCAGAGGAACAAGGATTGAACCAGAGGCCAGAGGCAGAGGACAGTTTGTTGCACGGTAGCTCAAGCATTGTCCCAGTGGCTGAGCGACTGTCCAGCCATCCACTCCAACAGAGCGGAAGAAGGGGCCTGGGTATGGTCACATCCTTCCTCCAGCCTGCCTCCACTTACCTTCAGCAGCTCGTTGTACAGCGGGTTTATGGTGTTGCGTTTGATGGTAGTCTTGCGTTTCCCTTGCCGGGATTTGTCAGGCAACAGATAGGTCTTCACGTACCTAGAGGGAGGAGCAGGGAGCGTTTCACCAGGGGCTCCCCAGAACAGCCTCGTCCCCTTGCTCCACGGAGCGAGCCCAGACCTCCCGCCTCCCCAGCAGCCCCCACTGGCTGCTCCCAGCTCCCGGGGCTCCCTGCAGCAGTGTGTCCCCACGGCTGTGCCACCCGTGCCCTCCCAGCTCTCACGGGTTGGAGCGCTTCCTGGCCTCGTCGCCGTAGGCCAGCTGGCGGCACTCCTTCACGTGGATGAACAAGGTCTGCGTCTTCTGCTCGTAGCTCAGGGAGAAGGAGATCCCCCCCGTGACCGCGATGTTCCCGAAGTCACCAGCCTCGCTGTAGATGCTGACCATGCTCCCCAGCGTGCTCTGGAGGACACGGCAGGCTCGAACCCGCGCAGCTTCAGTGTCCCCTGCTTCTCCTCAGCAACCCCCTCCCGTGACACTGCAAAGCTCTATACCCCAGGCCTGTTCTACACTGCAGCATTCCCAGTCCCTCTCTGGACCCAGTGCCAACTCCCCTGAGCTGCAGCTGGTGATCAAGAGTCTTTCTTTCACATTCAGGCTCCATGGAAAATAGCTGGGCCTCCATATTTTCAATTCCATGGAAAGGGACTATGCTGCTCTGCCCAGCTCTTGCTCCTGTGCCCAGGCTGCAGCTGCCCTTCTCCACGCTTCCCAGCCGGAGCATCACGAGTGCAGGGAGAGCGCGGGCGGCGCACGGACACTCACCGAGGACGTGCCGCTGCGCATGCTGCCCCGGGCCACCCTCTGCCGATGGATCTCCACCAGGTTATCGATGTCTTCCTCTTCCTCGTCCTGCCACGAGGGACAAGCCACCCGCGTGGGAGCACCAGGGAGGCTGCTGGAGGCAGACGGCCTCTCTGCCTCACACTCGCAGCGGCCCGAGGGATCTTACCAGCTCTGTGGCGAGGCCGGGGACCGATTTGCTTCTGTCCCCCAAAGAGCTGCTTTCCCCCACAAGGTCTTCCGGGCGCAGGTCAATCACAGACTTGGTGTATTCTGCACGGGAGATGGGAAGGCAGGGCCAGGACACCCGTTACAAGATAAGCAGAGCCCTGCTGAGCCCTCGCTGCAAGGAACTACTCTCATAATGAGAAGGAGACTCTACAACTTCTCTGGGCAGCCTGTTCCAGTGCTCTGTCACCCTCACTGTTAAGAAATTTTTCCTTAAGTTCCTATGGAATTTTTGGTGTTTCAGTTTCCGGCCATTTCCTCTAGTCCTATCAGTGGCCACCACTGAAAAGACATCATCCCCGTCCTCTGCACTCCCTCCCTTGAGGTCCTTATAGACACTGATCAGGTCCCCTCTCAGCCGTCTCTTCTCCAGGCTGAACAGGCCCAGCTCCCTCAGTCTCTCCTCATAGGGCAGATGTTCCAGGCCCCTGATCATCCTTGTAGCCCTGCGCTGGACTCTCTCCAGCAGCTCCACATCCCTCTTGTACTGTGGAGCCCAGAACTGGACACAGTACTCCAGATGCGGCCTCACCAGGGCTGAGTAGAGGGGCAGGATCACCTCCCTCGACCTGCTGGAGATGCTCTTCTTAATGCAGCCCAGGATTCCATTGGCCTTCTTGGCCACGAGGACACACTGCTGCCCCAGATATAAGCTATATATATGTATGATATATATGTATGCCCCAGATATAAGCTGCTCCTATATATGATATATATGTATGCCCCAGATATATATGTATGCCCCAGTATGATATATATGTATGCCCCAGATATAAGCTGCTCCTATATTTGCACCAAAACCATGACACATCCCAAAGAGATTTGGCTGTCCCCCCCACGCAGATCAGCTCACAAGGCTCCTCTCTGCCTTCAGTGCTCTCACCCGCAGGTCTCACGACCCTCCGGGGATTCTTCTTGAATATAGGTTCACGCTCATCCACCACCATGCTACTTCGGTTTCCCAGAGAAGCCTCCTAGGAAGGAAAAACCTTTGCCATTTTGGAGGGGAGCAGGACCCAGCTCCCAGGCCCAGCTCCCGCTTGGAAGAGCAGCGACACACACCCGTCCGTCGGCAGCGGGAAGCGCGTGTCTGGAGCGCACAGGGAGGGTCAGACTGGACGCAGCAGGCCCTGCTGGCGCAGGGACCTGTTTTCCCTCTTTGCTGGGAACAGCTTTATCCAGAGAGTTCCTCCTGCAGACACCGTACAGAAATAATCCATCTGAGCCCGGCATGGAGCCGAAGCAGCGCTGCTGGAAACCAAGTACTGGCTGGGAAATGCGCTCTGTCAACAAGCCCCGAGCAGCCCTGCGAGCGAGGCTGGAGCATCCCCGCCGGGGGAGCAGAGGCTCTGCCTGCCCAAGGCAACGCTCAGCGCAGCAAGGAGGCGATCAGACAAAAACACCCTTCAGACGAAGGTGCTCGTTCTCAGCCAGAGCTCTATTGCCACAGGCAAAGTGCCCAGACCTTCCCCAGGGAGCTCCTTACCTACAGGTGCCCCCTGCGCCACCAGCACTGGCTCTGTAGCTGTCCAGGCTCATGTTTTCCACAGACTCGGTGTCACTCCTGCCATCCCGAGGGTCTGAGGCATCGGGAAACAAACTGCAGACAAACAAAACCACAGGTATGTCCTGTCTGGCAAGGAGGCCAGTCTGGGAGCCCTTCTGTGCCATGAATCACCAGAGCACAGTGGCAGCTTCTCTCCCATGGCTCCCAGAGCAGACAGCAGGAGCACGAGGGACAACAGGAATCCACCCCTGGATCTGCTCTGTTTCCCCACAAGCCCTGAGAGAGGAGCAGCGAACAGGAAGGAGGAGATGGGGGGAGGACAAGCCTGAGGAACAGGTCCCTGTTGGCTCGCAAACCCAACAGTGGGAAGAGGCTCCCGCAGAACAGGCCTTTCTCACCTGGGCCCCTTCCTTGGCTCCTGGGGGCTCTTCCGCTGGGCTGCAGAGGAGCTTTTGGGATCGCTGAGCTGGGCCTTCTGGAGGAGGGTTTGTCCCACCGTCTCCCTTTTGCTGGCTGAAAGGGGACAGGAGTTGGGAGGAGCAAGCAGGGCCGCCCAGAGCAGCAGGGTACAGCCACCTCCACGCAGGCAGTGGCACTTCCAGGGAAAGCTGGGGCACCCTCGAGGAGCGGAGCCACAAGCTGTGCGAGAAGAGCCCCCTCCACTTGCCCCCACAACCGTCCCTGCCAACAGCCCCTACCTGCCGACTTGTACCGCAGGGACAGCCGCACCAGGTCGCTGCCCAGCCGGTTGGCAAAGCGATTGACCCGCTGGTCGTAGAACCAGTCGCCCGTCGCCTTCTTCAGCTCTCTGCGGGACAGGGGGCAGTGAGGGGCCGTCCCCAGCACCTCGAGGCAGCCTGAAGCTGCCCTCGCTGGCAGGAGCGGGCCGAGACAAACCAGGCACACGCAGCGCATGGCTGTGCATGGCCCAGGTCCTGCTCCAGGATAGCAGGCCCAAGGCAGGGCGGTTGCGGGGCAGCTGAGGCAAAGGAAGAGAAAAACTGGGGTGCTTGAAATGCAAGTTATGCAAGGGGCACAGGGGAGATGCGTGGAGTCAAGTAAGGGGTGAAGAGCAGCAAGGAAAGGAAGAAGGACACCCAAGAATGGGATCTGGTCCAGCTTTCCAACCACCTGTGGAGGGTGTCCACCCAAAGGAGAGCCTGGATAAGCCGGAGCAGAGACAACCCTCCTGCAGGGACAAGAGCAGGAGGAAGGGAGGGCAACAGAGTGTCAGGCCGGGGTTACTGGGAGGAGGAAGGGGACAGGAGGAGCAGAATGTACCCGCGCTGGTGCCCGCTGTGTACTCACGCCTCCTTGGTGCAGACTTTGCAGCGCCAGGAGCCGTTGGGGCTGTAGGCCCGGCAGTCCCGGCACACCAAGTGGTTGCAGCCATGGCAGGTGTTGGCCTTGGGGCTCACGCGGCCCAGGCTCTGCTGGCAGCGGGCGCACGTGCGCTCGCTGTAGCGCTGGCTGCCCCGCTTGGCGCCCTTGCGCCGGATCTCCAGCAGCTCGGTCTTG